ATCTTCAATTAACTCTGATAACAATTTCAAAGGTACAGATCTTGTGCCTCTTCTATAGATATTTGAAATCATTGAGCTATTATGAGATTGTTGTGATTTTTCACGTTCATAGACTACATTTGTCTTTCTTTTCATCTCCTCTGCCAATGATTTGAAACAACCAATTAGCCAACTATAATAATTCACTAAACAAGATGGATCTTTTAATAGACATAAGAATCCATACCATCTTGCACTACCTCTAGCACGGCTATCATTGATTTTAAACATATACGATAACCAATGACCATCGCCACTACTAATTAAAACTGGTCCTTCTCTACCTGGTACTGCTTCACAACTTAAACTTCTAACACATGCATTTCTAATAACACTATAATAACTCTGATTCGATGTTTGATGTGTACTAATATAATAAACTCCTTTATTCATTTGATCTTGTGATACTAATGCATTACCTAATGGTATAGATGAACATGTCGGGCAATTTGGTTTAATAACTGTTGTTGTTGTTGTCGTCGTCGTCGTCGTTGTACTATTTATATTTGTTGATTCATCACACGATTCATTATTTCTATTTGATAATAATACATAATATGTTTTAAATTCTTCATCTTCATATTCATCGTTCCTCTTATTATTATTATTATCACTATTACTATTACTGTCTTCTTCATCATTATTATTATTAAATTTTTTTGAAAATAAAGTTGGTAATGATATTGGTAATGATTTATCAATAGGTTGATCTAAATTTAATGTTGATAGGTCTATATTATTATTATTATTATTATTATTATTATTATTATTATTATTATTATTATTATTATTATTATTATTATTATTATTATTATTATTATTATTATTATTATTATTATTATTATTATTATTATTATTATTATTATTATTATTATTATTATTATTATTATTATTATTATTATTATTATTATTATTATTATTATTATTATTATTATTATTATTATTATTATTATTATTATTATTATTATTATTATTATTATTATTATCTAGAATTCTCTCTGTATGTGTTGTAAATACTACTGATGGTCCATGTGTCTCACAAAAATGTGTAAGAACAATTGATGCTGGCATCATATTACCATTGATTGAGGTTGTATTTGTATTTTCATTTGATGATTGTTTTAATATTGATGGTGAGGAGTTTGCTGATGATTGTTTTCCACTAGAATTATTTGATGGATCGTTATCATCATTATCTACTGAATCTGAATAATATGAAGGTATTTTAACTTTTATCATTTTTTTATTTTTTGTTTATGGATATATGCGTTTTAGTTGGGGAGGTATTTTTCTTTCTTTTATTTAAAAAGAGAAAGTGACTATATGTACAAAGTTTTTTTTTTTTTTTTTTGATATTCCTTTTTTAAGATTAAAAAAAAAGTGAATTTTAGATATTATCTAAATTAAATAGAGTGTAGGCAATGGTTTTTCATTTAAAAAAATAAAAAAAATAAAAAAAATAAAAATTCAAATTTTTTTTAAAAAAAAAAAAAAAAAAAAAAAAAAAAATTCTGTTCATTGATTTGCATAAACACATTTAAATATATAGTAAAATGGGTTTATTAACAGTTTTAAAAAAATTAAAACAAAAAGAAAAGGAATTAAGAATTTTAATGCTTGGTTTAGATAATGCAGGTATGAGTCTATACAATTTGTTTTCCAAAAAAAAAAAAACTTCATCTTGTTTAGGTAAAACAACTTATTAAAAAGAATTTTTTTTGGAAAAAAAAACAAAAAAATAATTTCATCTTATTTAGGTAAAACAACTATATTAAAAAAATTTAATGGAGAAGATATTTCAACAATTAGTCCTACATTGGGTTTTAATATTCAAACTTTAATGTATAAAGAGTGAGTTTCTCTTTTTTTTTTTTTTTTATTTTTTTTTTTTCCTTTTCATAAAAGTTTGAAAAGAAAGAAATGATATTAATATTTTAATATCTTTATATGAATGTCTAGATATAAACTAAACATTTGGGATATAGGTGGCCAAAAAACACTTAGATCATATTGGAGAAATTATTATGAAGAGAATGATGCAGTCATTTGGGTTATAGATAGTTCAGATATAAGAAGAATTGATGATTGTAAATTTGAATTAAAAAAATTATTAGAAGAAGAGGTAAATGAATTTCATAAATATAATTTCATAACATACATATATAATACTCATACAATAATACCTTTATAGAAATTTGCAGGAGCATCATTTTTAGTTTTTGCAAACAAACAAGATTTAGATGGTGCAATGACATCAGAAGAGATTTCAAAAGTATGTTATATTGTATACATTATTTTAATTAAAATACTCAAAAAACAGAGTACCTATTAATTTTAGAATTCCTATTATTAGTATTTGGATTTAGAACAATTAAATACTCATCATTGGGAGATTATGAGTTGTAGTGCTGTTACAGGTTTAGGCTTAGAAGAGGGCATAGATTGGGTAGTAAAAGATATTGTATCTCGTTGTTTTGTTTTAGATTAGAATTTAATCGAGCAATCATAAAAAAAAAAAAAAAAAAAAAAAAAAAAAGAAAATATCATAAACACATTACAGCGAATACTTTAAAAGATATACAGATTGCACACACATTAGAAAGTAAACAATTATAATCGATACAATAATAATGGCATGGGTGAAAAGAGATATTTCACTTTGTGAAAATTATATTTAAATTGAAAGAGAAAAAAAAAAAATAAAAAAAAAAAACAAATAAATAATAAAAATAAGTTAGTACATTTGAAATTATTTTTTTTGTAATCAAATAACGGATTGAATTGATGAGAATATTTGTGTACTTCCAATATTTCTATATTTAGTACCTTACAAAATTCTTCAAAAATAGTTTATTTCTAAAAAAAAATAAAAAATTTTATTTTCAGAAAAAAACAAGAAAAAAAAAAAAATCCCATTGATTTTTTTTTTTTTAATTATAAAAGTTTCTTATGTGCAACCACAAAATTAAAAGATCGTGGAAGTAAAGTTAAACCTATACAGCAAACCTAAAATTAGATTAAAAAAGGTTAACTGTCAGGCTTCTCGATGTTTTTTATTTTGCAATGCCTTTTTTTTTGTTTTCAAACATTACCATTCATTATTAATTAAAAAAAAAAAACATTGTGCAAAATATACAATAACAATAACAAAAATAATAACAATAAAAAGTTGTAATACACAATACAAATATATTAAAATTTAAAATTTCTCCTTTTTTCTTGTAATTTTTTGAGAGAGGAAAATAGAGTGATAATAATAAAAATAATTAAAACAATAATTATTATAACTGAAAAAAAAAAAATTCTTAAAGAGAGGAAAAATTTATTTTTTATTATTACGATTTTAAAAATAAAATTTTAATTAATGATTAAAAGTAAGTAATTTCTTGTTCCTTTGTTTTACCATTTTCAACTCTAACTAAATTGGCTGAACCAGAGAATGGTTTATAGATTCTAATGTGGGCATAGCTATTGTCAGTTCTAACTTTAACAAAATAATTAGTACCATTTACAAGTTGAGTTTTATAACTAATTACTGTCACATTGGAGGTTCCTAATTGTGTTTGAATTGAACCTTTTACACTATCAACAATATCTTCAACGGTTTTATCTGCTGGGTGTTTTTCACTAAGTCCTCCTGCTAATGGCATTTTACTTTAATTATTATTATTTTTATTATTTTTAAATTCTAAAAGGGTAAATTTTTTTTGTTTTTGTTTTTGTTTTTGTTTTTGTTTTTGTTTTTGTTTTTGTTTTTGTTTTTATAAAGAATTAAAAAACTTTTATTTATATATAAATAATTTTTAATTTTTTTAAAAAAAAAAAAAAAAAAAATCAAAAAAAAAAAAATAAAAAATAAAAATAAATAAAAATAATTTTTTATATTACCACTTAAATCTATTTTTATCTAACAATATATTTTTTCACACCACTTATTTCCCCCTTATATTTTCTTTTCTTTTTTTTTTTTTTTTTTTTTTTTTTTTTTTTTGTATTTTGTAAAATAATAGTGATTTAATTGAATCAATCATTTGTAAAAATCAAAAAAAGTTAAAATAATATGAAAAAACAAAATCTCTTATTATTATTATTATTATTATTTTCTTTAAATAACCAGCTGTTTTATTGATTCTTAAGACTTTCAGTTAAAAACACAAAAAAAAAAAAAAAAAAAAAACCACTTTCCTTTTCCTTTTTTTTTTTTAAATCATAATAATTACCATTAAATTATCACCACTTAAAATTATTTGTGTTTTAAAATATTAATTATAGAAACCCTTAAAATTTGATTAGTATTATTTTGTTTTGTTTTTTATTTAAATAATCAATGTAGCACTTATATGGTATGGAAAAGGTGAGGTTTAGATTTATTTTCATATGGAAAAACTAAACCTGTGGGAGAATAAACTTGATACTTATACACCTACAGATCTACAGTTGGGATTCCAATTTGTTAATCTTTTATTTTTAATTTTTCCATTACTAACAACCTGTTTCTTCCCTAATTCTAATTACCATCTTACTATACACATGGTATCTTCTGCCAATAGCTCTTTTTTCATGCTATTAACATCTCTAATCACTAACTCTTTTTTTTTTTAATAACATGATTGTATCTATGAGTCGCTATCTCATTTCTCTCTATTCCATTATACTCTTGTATTCTCTTTTTTTTTTTTTTTTTTAATATTATTGGGATTAGAATTTCTAATCACCATGTTTTTTTTTTTTTTTTTTGTTGTTGTTTTTTGGAAGTCGAGCTTTTTTTTCGGTTGATTCTGAGGTGTGTTATTTATGACCACGTTACTTCGTGGTATGACCAAAGGCTCGAATCAAGGCCACGGGGACTGTGTCTTCTTTTCCAGTTTAGTGTTTGAGGGCAACATTTTTTTTTTCACCCATGATTATTTTGAGGGCAACAAGAATCGATCCAGTGACTAAAGGATACTGCCGGGAAAACTTGGAGAAGAAGGGTATCGATCCCTTTACCTTATGGAACTCTGATTATCGTTGCTGTTTATGCAAACCATACGCTCTACCATATGAGCTACATCCCCGATTTTGAAAATTTTTTTTACATAGCCTTACCTATTCTAGCTCAAAAAATTTTTTTTAAAAAAAAATATTTTATTTGCAAAATATTTTATTTTTTTATTTTAAATCAAAAAATTTATTTTTTAAAAATTAATTCATATCAAACAAAAATTAGACAGAGTAATTCATCTCCCCCACACGATTGACCTAAAATACAAAGATATAATAAACCTGAAAAAAAATATTTATTTAACAAAAACCATTATCCCTACCTCCATTAAACCTATTTATGTAATTATAACTATATTCCAATAAACCTCTTGGGGTGTAATATTTTTTTTAAGAAAGTTATTTGATAAAAAAAAAAAAAGAAAAGTTTAGTTAAAATTATAATTCTTTATCTAATGTTATTTCAAAATGTTAATTAATTATTTACTTTCAAAAACATTATATCAATTATATCTATTTTACACTACGTTGCGCTAAATATGCGTTTTGGGCAATGTTCTTAAAAAAAAGCAACCATGCAAACTCGAAAATTTATTTTAAAATAAAAAAAATTGAAAAAAAAATTAAAAAAATTAGAATAAAAAATAAAAATAAAAAAATTAAAAAAAAAATTAATTAAAAACAAAATAAAAATAAAAAAAAATTTCAAAAACACCACACACATTTTCTTTCTCACAAATACACATATAATTATTGTTAAATAAACAAAGAAATTACACCCACCATTTAAACGTTTATTAAAAAAAATAAAAAAATAAAAACAAAATATATAAATATATAAATAAATAAATAAATAATAAATAAAAATATATATTTTTTAAAAACCAATTGAATAAAAGTTATAATTTAAAGTAGTAATAAAAAGAAAACAAAAATAATTTATAAAATTATGGCACTTGTATGTTTTAAAATAAAGAATTAAACTTTTTATAAAAATTGTTACTAACTTTTATTTTTTTTTTTTTTTTGTGAAATTATTTTCATATATTAATATGGGTGATAATAATGAAGGCATTCCCACCACATGCAATTCAAGCAATATTAGAAATTGAAGGTAGTTTATTAAACAATAGGTTATTTCAAAATTTCGATGAGGAGTTAAATTTACAACCACAGTCATTAAGAGAGAGTAGAGTACAAAAATTATCAACCAATAGATATTCAAAATTTAAAAAAATCCTTCAAGAGCCAATTATAGATTTGGAGGCATTACGAACTTTATCATGGGGTGGTATTCCAACTGACCATAGACCATTGGTCTGGAAATTATTATTAGTAAGTTGTAGTAATATAGAAATAATAGTGATAAATACACATTTATTAATATATTAAATTTATTCGTTTAGAATTATTTACCATTAGAACAAAAGAATCATAATAAAGTATTATTTGATAAAAGGAGTCAATATAAACAATTGGTAAAAAAATTTTATCATGCACCAACAACCACAGTTGCAGATGAAAAAATATTAAATCAAGTAAGATTAGATGTACCAAGAACTATACCAAAAGGTTTCAGTAATACAACATTGTTTAAAAGTGCAATACTTCACAATTGTTTAGAGAGAATTTTATATGTTTGGTCTTTATCAAATCCTTTAATTTCTTATTTTCAAGGTTTAAATGATATTCCTGCACAATATTTATTAGTATTTTTATCACAATATATTAGTATGTGTAAATTTTTTATTTATTTTATAATTAATAATTAATATTAATATTTTTTATTTTTTTATTTAGATTTATGGGGAGACTTAAAAGATTTAAATGATGATATATTAGAAAAAGTTGAAGCAGATACATTTTGGTGTTTTTCATTAATGATGAATAATTTAAAGAACAGATTTATAGATTTTGGAGAGGGTATTCAAAGAATGTCAGAGAGATTAAAAGAATTGGTTAAATTAAAGGATCCAGGTTTATCAGATCATTTAGAGGAGGAAAGATGTGATTTCGTTTTATTTTCAATAAGATGGATGATTTGTCTATTATGTAGAGAATTCGATTATACCCTCTCAACTAGATTATGGGATTCATATATTGCACATGGTCCAAACTTTGGTCATTTTCATATTTACATTTGTGCTGCACTAATCACAACAAGTGAATGGGTAGTTTATTTAAAACAAAAAGAATTTTCAGATGCCATCGTTTTCCTTCAACATTTACCAACTAATGATTGGAATATTTGCCATATAGATTATCTATTAGTTAGAGCTTATAAAATATTTTTGTTAGAAGTTAAATCTTTAGTAAAAAATTCTTTAAATTCTCTACTTATTAATAATAATAATAATAATAATAATAATAATAATAATAATAATAATAATAATAATAATAATAATAATAATAATAATAATAATAATAATAAAAATGATAATATTGAAAACGATCAAGAAAATAATGTAAATAATAGTAATAATAATACCCTTGTAAATAATAATTTAATTTTAAATGCCCAAATGAAACAAATTCATAATTTATATAAGAAGACTATTGAAAATCCACCAGAAGAAAATGAAAATCCAGCTATGATAAAATCAAGTAATATAAATTCCCAACAACAAATTTTCAAACAATCGATTCAACAAGTACACCAACAGGTTTTGGTGTCATCCCTTTCAAATGAAAATATGATAAATGTTGAAATGATCGAGAAAGTTTTAGAGATAATTCCTATGAATCTAATGGATTTTTCAGTTTTATCACCAGAGGATGCCGATAAAGAATTGGTTAAACATGTTACAATGCATATGGTGTTGATAATGGCAACATTATTACTCACCAGTGTTGTACTTTTAATAGTTATCATAACTTCAACTCTAACCATTACCTCTATGGAATTTTATAATAATAATTGTAATAAACCTCCAAAAAATAATAAAAATAACAATAGTAATAATAATAATAATAATAATATAAACCATGATTTGGATTAAATAAAAATAAAATAAATAAAATTTAAAAATTCATATACTTTCCTTTTTTTTTTTTTTTTTGGCAACCTAAATAAAACCCATAGAATTGATTATTATTATTTTTTATTAATACTCAACTGATGTATGTTATTGTTGTTTAAACTATTATAATTTAAATCGATTTTTTCTTTTGCTTCAATTTTTAATAAAATAAAAAAAAAAAAAAACATTATACTATTTTTTTTTTTTTATTGTTTTAAAATTTCACAATATAAAATTGAATGTTTTGAATGAAAATAACCAGTTGCGCTTGTGAAGCCAAAATATGCTTGTTTTAAACCCACCAAGTCTGGAACATGAATATTATTTAATAATTCAACGGAATCAACCGAAACGGATAAACTTGTCTCTTTATGATTATATTTAATCTCTACTTTATGTGGTAATCCATCTTTCATTGGGAATGATGGTACAGCAGAAGCAACTGAATATTTGTTCGAAGAAGAAAGACCTCTACCATTTTCTGAACAACCTTGAATTGAGATATGATTATTATTAGGTTCATCTTCATTCATATAAGTATCAAACTCAACAGCAACTGCTCCATCCTTCTTTGGAATATCATGATATCCAAGTGTCGCTCCGCCAGTATAACGATAGGAATGCTCTTTATCACTAGAACTTTGAATTACAAATGCAAACCCATCAGCTCCTTCATTATGTTCTTGTGGTTTTGAAATTTCAAATGTAAACTTAACCAATAAATCTGATTCTAATGGTAATTTAATATTTGAAAATACTGATCCAACTTGATCACTTTTATCATTTGTTAAATTAAATTTATTTGATTTAATTTCTCTCTTTTCATTTCCTTTATTATTATTATTATTGTTGTTATTGTTATCATTATTATTATTGTTGTTGTTATTGTTATCATTATTATTATTGATATTATTATTATTATTATTGTTATCATTTATAGTCAAGTTTCTTAGGGAAGGATTAATTCTCATCTTTGTTCTAGCATATGGCGAGGGTCTTTCCTGTTGTTTTTCTTCCTTTTTAATTTTAATTCCATTATTATCTTCAAAAAAAGCATCACCGTTAGCTCTAGTGGTTGTATTATCAAATATATAGAATGAATTATCCAATACCTTGTTCTTTAAGAAAACATTTCTAAATACCTTAAAGAATAACTCATCTCTATTTTCACTATTATTATTATTCGACATTGAGAACTCTATTTTACAAAAAAAAAAAAAATAAAAAAAAAAAAAATAATTAATAAAATTAAAATTTAAAAATTAATTTAAAAAAAAATAAAAAAAAAATAATATATAATTTTCCCAAATTTTGAAGATATCACCCCAACACACACATTTTTTTTTTAAAAATAAAAAATTTGAAAAATTTAAGAGAAAATTCTTATGGTTGTGCGTATATTTTGGGTTGGCCTTCAAGTTGATAATAATTACATCAAATATTGTTTTAAAAAGATATCTGGACAACATAAAGTAAATTTTAGTTTTTGTTTGAAATTAAAAAAAAAAATACCTTTGAGGGTTGTTGCAGTAATAATATTTTATTTTATTTTTAAAAAAAATTAATTTGTATCATTTCGTTGTAGCTTAATAATTTCGCAATTGATAATTGAATGTTTTGAATGTTCTGAACCAGTTGCACTAGTGAAACCAAAATATGCTTGTTTTAAACCTACTAAACCAGGGACATGAATATTATTTAATAAATTAACATTATCGATACTAACAGATAAATTGGTTTGCTTTTGGTTGAATTTAATCTCGACCATATGTTTTAAACCGTCTACCATAGAAAATGATGGTTGAACTGAAAAGAGAGAGTATTTATTCAATGATGAAAGATAATTATCTTCAGAACAACCTTGAATTGATATATGGTTACTATTTGATTCACCATCATTCATATGGGTATCGAATTCAACAGCAACACAACCATCCTTCTTTGGAATGGAATGATATCCAATTCCTTCACCTAAAGTACCGAGTGAATTCTCATCATTACTTTGAATTACAAATGCAAATCCATCTGCACCTTTGTTAACGTCTCCTAATGGT